GCCCTTTATGAAACTGAAAGTGTACACTTTTTGGGGCTTATGAACTCAGCAACTAAGGCTGAGCCTCTCGATGATGGACGCCTACGCGGATCTCTGGAGTTATTGGAGCGGTCGCACGCCGAGCGCCGCCTCCAGAGAACCCAGAGAGCGCTTGCACGCGCTGCGAGGCAAGGGCTTAGGGGCGAGTTCCTTTAAGGGTCCCTTGTAAGGGATTTAAAGGGATTCTGTAAGGGTAGAGGGTTTAGGGCCTGTTTGGAGGTTTATTGGTGGTTATCAGTAGGGTTTAGAAGTCCCCTAATATAAGTTAGAAGTATAGTTATCCTACTTATGACCCTACTTTTAACTACCCACGACCTCCAAGTAGAGCTACTATACTTGGAGGTTTATGGGTAGTAATAAGTGGGGTTCAGACGTCCCCTAATATAAGCCATATAGGCGGTAATTATAGTTTCCTACTTATAAACTTATAAACCCTACATATTTTATAACTACCCATGAACCTCCGAGTAAGGGTGTAGGGAACTGGTTAGTATATGGTTGATCTAAAGTTACTAGAGGGGCTACAAGAGTCATTGCTAATGGGTTGCCATAAGGCTTGCCGAATGTCGCCATGATGCAGGGGCTTTGCAGCGTCACAACACTCATCTGTGGCAAGTTGCAGCTGCCAGCATCCAGGCAGCCACAGTCAAAAGCCCCCAGCCCCCAAACCTTGAACCCTGAACGCCGTTTAGGATTTCAGTTGTTTAGAGTTTAGGGTTAGCCCAAGTCGGGACAGCACGAGTATATTTAAGGGCTGATTGTAGGATTGTGCCAACGTAGGGGCTGATTGAAGTATTGCGCTCATAAACATGTCCCTGTGGATAAACATTCCTTTAAGTTCTGCGATTTTGAGGCATACCCTTTGCCCAAAACACAAGGCCCACCCGTTTTAATTAAGATAAACCCTAAGCTCGGAAACTGTAAACCCCAAGCCCCAAGCCCTAAACTGCAAACCCTAAAAGCCCTTAGCCCTACCCGAACCCAACCCAGCCAAGGCAGGAGACCCTGGAAAGGTCGACCTGTGATCCGCTTTGGGGCCTCTTCGGGGGAGAGGCAGCGCTGCATGTATAGTTGTTTCTGGGTTTTGGGTTTGGAGTTTAGACTTTACGGTTTGGAATTCTGCAGGAATACATCCAAAAACCTGCTTCTAGTTATGGAGGCCCCTATGTCGTAGGGTCTTCTCGTCCGTTTGGGGTTTGGGGTTTCAAGCTGATGCAGTTTAGGCTTCAGGGTTGTATTTCGTGATCCCGTTTAGGTTGGCTACTTTCTTTTGCAGCCCATGTAGACTCGAAAAGGCCCCCTGCAGCCTTGCCCCCAGAGAGGCCGACCACTTACAGATTCTTCTTTATATTTTATATGATAAGGTACTCCTAGTTCTCGGAAGCTCCCATATGATATTATATTATATCTTATTATGTCCTATTATATCTTATTATACTATATGATATTATACTTCAAGCCATACTAGTTTGTACCAGCACGTGCGTGAAATAATGCGGCCTGCGACTTTCATCCCTCAACCACCATACATGAATGTGCACCAAAGGGTTGAACCTCCCCAAATATACTTGTAACCCCCGATATAAGTTTCACTTTAAGCGTAACCCTGTGGAATCGTTGGGTTTCAACCGCACTAAATATGCTGAACCTTCAACCTGCAGGTACCACACCATCGCCGGGATATTGGAGAACTACTGTCGAACATCTCACGGAAGCCGCCTGATCTACGTCGAGGTAGGCATCTTCGAGGGAGACACCTTGGCAGTTTTACGGTTTCAGGTTTCAAGGTTTTGTGGGTATGGGGTTGTCTGTTTAGAGTTGCAGGGATGTTCGGGTTTTAGGGTTGTGAGCTCAACCCCTGAAGCCTGAACGCCCAAACTTAGCCTCAAGCCTCAAACTCCTAAACTTCTAAACCCTACAAGCCCCTACACCCTTAAACCGTGCGCATACATACATGTAGACATATATTCATTCCTACACACACCCACACACCACAAAAACACGTATATGTGCTTGCTGCATACATACATACATACATGGATAACATACATATGGATGTACATGGCTGTCTGCATGCATGCATGCATGCATGCATGTTTACATGCATACATACCTACATACATACATACATACATCCCTGCATCTCTACATCCCGACATCCTTACATCCATACATGCATATGCGCATGCATGCATGCATACGTGCATGCTTGCAATCATACCTAGCTACCGACCTACCTGACCTAGCCTAACCTATCTACCTACCTCGCTACCTACCTGCGTATGTACACACATTCGCACATCGGACATCGACCCTTCCGTCCGTCCGTCAATCCATCCCCGCATCCATGCACGCATCCTGTCATTCCAACCATCCATGCCGCATACATGATTGCATGCACACAAGCATATATGCATACGTCCTTCCTTCCCTCGTCGCTTGCCGTCTTGCTCGGTCGTCAAGTTCACTACCTGATTTCTTGCTTGCTTGCTTGCCTCTTCACTTGCTTGCTTACTTACTCACTTACGTACCCATGCAGATATACCTGCCCAACAAATTTAAAGCCAAGCCCCGAGACCCTGCAGCCTCACTGCGCGCTCTCCAAGGACACCCCGCTGCATCTGGCCAAAGTGGCACTGCCAGCGATGAAGGATTGGGTGTCCTGCAAGTAGTCAGTTGGTTATCCGTTCATGCGTGCACACGCTCACGCACACGCACGCACACACTCATGTGCAACTGTGTGTAACTATATGAATGTATAAGCTTGCGTGCCTGTGCACATACACGTGCAGCTGCATGTTTGTAGCAGTTTACGAGCCGTCACGCGCTCCATCCACCTACTCATTTAGTCCGCGGTGGCACGGGTCATGAGGATCAGGGTTGACGCCAACTAACACTCGCCAATAGTAGTAATCTGAGTGTTGAAAGTAGTCGTCATGAGAGTGCTCTGCTGATGTTGTTGACGACGACGATCAGTAATGTAACAGGATGCAGCAGCTATTCGATGTGTCCTTTTCGATGATGCAGCCACTATGACGATGATGGTGGTGATGGTGCTGTTCGCGGAAGGGGAGGGGGACGACGAGGTAGAAATCAACTTTGAGGACAGTGCGTGATTGGTGATGTTTGTCTAGCTAAATATGATTATGAGCATCTTTTCACGCTTTTGCTCGGCTGTTGCCCGAAAGCCTGAATTTCAAGGGGTGGTCGCCCCGAAAACTTGAGGGTGCGGAGTCGAGAGAGTCAGATTCCTCGGCCTGTGGCATCGGAGGAGATGCATCTCGTTGAGCCGGACAGGTGGCTCCTGCAACTGGCAGGCGCAGCGAGCATGGACAAACTCTGCCCACTACCACTACTACTACTACTACTACTACAACTACTACAACTACTACAACTACTACAACAACAACAACAACAACAACTACTACTACTACTACTCCTACTACTCCTACTACTCCTACTACTACTACTACTACTACTACTACTACTACTACTACTACTACTACTACTACTACTACTACTACTACTACTACTACTACTACTACTACTACTACTACTACTACTACTACTACTACTGTCCCCACAGACTGCCGGAATTGCGGCCACGATCTTTTCTGCTCAGGTGCGCGGGTGGCGGCCACTGCGCAATCCCAGCGCTGGTCAAGCTGCTTCCACAGCCACTAGGATGCCCAGTAGTACCCTTATTCCCTTTTTAAAGGGATCTATAAGGGTTCCTTAAAGGGATCTATAAGGGTTCTATAAAGGGTTTAGGGTTTCCGAAAATTAGGGGCTAGGATGCCCAGTAGTACCCTTATTCCCTTTTTGTAGTCCTAGGTTCCTTATAAAGTTACCCAATACCAAGAAGAGAGGCCTTTTTATTCTTAGATTACTGGATATCCTAGGCCACGACTCGTTGATGCCGTTCACCCGCTCCACGCACCCACTCGGAGATGCCAATCCGGGTTCTCTGCGACCGTCCGAGGCAGCTCGTTTCGTCTGCCTCGAAGCTACTGACAGGCACGGCATCGAAATTTAAAGGCTCCGAGCTTTCGATGGAATCCCAAGCTAAAACAAGAGCAGAACCGAAAGCACGAGCATCACCATGAACCATTCAGCATCCACAGTCGGTAGCAGTTGCCACAGTAGTCGTTGGTGGTGATGACTAGGTGGTGCTTTCTTTATATAACTTTGGAGTTCTCATGGATGAACTGAAAGACCTGCCGCAAATTCTTGTTCTCTTGAGCACATCAATTTATCCCTGAGTCCTTGGCAACAGGATTGATGGACGGATCTTCCTCCATTTCGCGAACTCGACCATGGCTTCAACGCGATTTGTTCCTGGCAGCCTTGATGTGGTTTTTCTTGATGCGACCCCCGGGGAGTTTCAAGTGGTCCTACACCATCTCGAGAGCTTCTGGGCTCTCCTCCGCAGTGGAGGCATCCTGCTAGGTGGGAGTTTCCGAAAATTAGGGACACCTTATTTTGGGATCCTTGTAATGAGGATCCTACTATTTAGGGGAAACTCCCAGGTCATGACTTCTACCATGTCCACACAAGCTATGAGAAGTTCAACGACAATATTGGGGCTGCCCTGGCTTTCGCTGCGCGCCACGGACGCCATTTGTTCCTTGGTGCCGACCAGCTGTTCTGGATCGTGAAGTGAAAAAGACAGCGTTAGCCTGAGCCTGAAACGGTTTCACGACTGCTGTTTGTAGCTATTGGTATTTGTTATTCCGTCTAGTCGTTCTTGTCGTCTTCAGCGACGTCGTCGTCGTCGTCGCCGTCGCGTCATCGTTGCTAGCGGTCATTGTTGCTGTTCTGGCTATCTTTGGTGGTCCATGAAGAAGACGAACTGTCCCGGACTTTGCATGCCAAACCCTTCTGCATAGAAGCATCAACAATAAAAGTGTCCCCAGTGCGAGATTTCACGATGTTCTCCGCAGAGTTCTCTTGCTGGACAGGAGGGAGGAGCGAGGCGGTCTGCGGCCGAGGCGCAGGCAAGCAGACGAGCAACATGAGGGAGCACGATACCCATAGGCCCCATAGCAGTTCCTTTTTGATTTTGGTGGGGTTCATATATAGAATATAATAAGGTAATCCCAAAAAGGAACTACTTTGTGGCCTATGAGGAACTACTTTGTGGCCTATGGGTAGAGTACTCGTAGCAGATAGATATAGTCTTGTCTTTGTCGTCGTTGTTGTGGGAATCCTCTGTCCTCACCTTCGTACGTAGTCGTCTTCGTCCTTCGACATCGTCTCTTCCTCTGCCTTCCATCGGCACCGGTCCCAGCTGGGCCCCAGCATCACCCTTCACTACCATCTTGAAGGCTTAAAGGGAACTCCAGAAAGTTGGAATATGGTTTCAGGGTAGGATACCTTATAATTTACCATAAAGGGTTTAGGATAATCATATTCCAACTTTCTGGCTTTTACTGTACAGCGTCTGAGTCCAGAGGCTCTTCACAGATCGCGGAAACCTCAAAACAGCCCTCCAGCTCCGACTCCTTCAGGAAGTACCGAGGAACCCAAAGTAAGGAACAAAGATTAGCCCAAAGGCTACAGCACCCGAAACACAAGCCATCAACACCAAAATACTCAGATGAATTCCCCGTCGCCCCAGTCTAAGTTTCTCACGCCCATCCCCGAAGCAGAGATCACCAAGGCCTGATAAATCTTTCTCCCCAAACCAGAATCCCGACCCCTGAATCCGAAGACATGAGCCACACCAAAGCTCATATCCTCAAAGCCGCCTTTTTCAACGGCAAAATCCCGACATCCACACCTTCCCAAACAGATCCCCATTCTCATGAATGCTTAGATAAACCCTAAACCCTAAACCCTAAATGCGGCAGCCCCAAAATTTTCAGCCCAAGGCCCTCCTAAACCCTGAACCCGAAAGGCCCAAAATCCCCGAGACCCCAAACCCAAAGCCGAATCCTAAACTCCCCGCATCTTCCGCGTTTAAGGAACCCTATAGATCCCTTTAAAGGACCCCTTTAAGGAACCCTATAGATCCCTGTAAGGAACCCTATAGATCTTTTTAAGGAACCCTATAGATCCCTTTAAAGGTCCCCTTTAAGGAACCCTATAGATCCCTGTAAGGAACCCTATAGATCTTTTTAAGGAACCCTATAGATCCCTTTAAAGGACCCCTTTAAGGAACCCTATAGATCCCTGTAAGGAACCGTATAGATCCTTTTAAGGAACCCTATAGATCCCTTTAAAGGACCCCTTTAAGGAACCCTATAGATCCCTGTAAGGAACCCTATAGATCTTTTTAAGGAACCCTTTAGATCCCTTTAAAGGACCCCTTTAAGGAACCCTATAGATCCCTGTAAGGAACCCTATAGATCTTTTTAAGGAACCCTATAGATCCCTTTAAAGGACCCCTTTAAGGAACCCTATAGATCCCTGTAAGGAACCCTATAGATCTTTTTAAGGAACCCTTTAGATCCCTTTAAAGGACCCCTTTAAGGAACCCTATAGATCCCTGTAAGGAACCCTATAGATCTTTTTAAGGAACCCTATAGATCCCTTTAAAGGACCCCTTTAAGGAACCCTATAGATCCCTGTAAGGAACCCTATAGATCTTTTTAAGGAACCCTATAGATCCCTTTAAAGGACCCCTTTAAGGAACCCTATAGATCCCTGTAAGGAACCCTATAGATCTTTTTAAGGAACCCTATAGATCCCTTTAAAGGACCCCTTTAAGGAACCCTATAGATCCCTGTAAGGAACCCTATAGATCTTTTTAAGGAACCCTATAGATCCCTTTAAAGGACCCCTTTAAGGAACCCTATAGATCCCTGTAAGGAACCCTATAGATCTTTTTAAGGAACCCTATAGATCCCTTTAAAGGACCCCTTTAAGGAACCCTATAGATCCCTGTAAGGAACCCTATAGATCTTTTTAAGGAACCCTATAGATCCCTTTAAAGGACCCCTTTAAGGAACCCTATAGATCCCTGTAAGGAACCCTATAGATCTTTTTAAGGAACCCTATAGATCCCTTTAAAGGACCCCTTTAAGGAACCCTATAGATCCCTGTAAGGAACCCTATAGATCTTTTTAAGGAGCCCTATAGATCCCTTTAAAGGTCCCCTTTAAGGAACCCTATAGATCCCTGTAAGGAACCCTATAGATCTTTTTAAGGAACCCTATAGATCCCTTTAAAGGACCCCTTTAAGGAACCCTATAGATCCCTGTGAGGAACCCCACCCTCCTTTGAGAAGAGATCCCCCAGGATCTGCACCTTCCAGACACCTGTCGAGGAGTCGAAAGAGCAGGCCTGTGATTTAGCAGCTGAGTATGTCACCTTTAACCTTGTGGGTGTTCTCGCTAGGGGTCGGGGGAGGGTTTAGGGATTTTCATACTCATTATTGTTGTCATTTATTATTATCATTCGTGTTGTGACAACTACTCTTTGCTACTGTTTCATTGTTCTTGTTGCTGTGTTGTTCACCACTGTTAGCTTGTTGCTACTATCATCAGTATATGATGTTGTTGTTGCCGTTGCCGTTGGTGGTGTTGTTGTTCTTGTTGCTGCGGAAGCCTTAGAAGGGGCCCCACCCTGTAATAGTGACTATAAGGATTATATTAGGGCCCCATTATATTCCTATTATACCACTGCGGTTGATGGTATAAATCCTGAATTACCCATAATAAGGGATATGCCATAATTCCCGTAGTTTAGGGTCCTTAAGGTAATGCAGGATTTCCATCATCAACCGTATTACAGGGTGGGTGCCCCTTCTAACGGAAGCCTCTGCTCGCAGGTTGGTTCACGCGAGGCCAGTGGTTTTGGGCTTGGGAGTTTTGGGAGCGTCGGGCGAGGGTTAAGGCTTGAGAGGTTAGGGATTTGAGAGGGTAGGTGTGTTAGTTCAACGGGTTTCCCAGCTTTGGGAGCTTTGTTTGCTCTGTGGTTTTCGTTCTGCAGTTTTTTCATGGCTTTCGAGGTTTTGGGTGGTGGGTTTTCACCGCTCCATTCGCTCGCGTTTTTGGGCCTAGCTTGGGGATTCCGGAAGGGGCTGGGGCAGCATTTCTGGTCCGTGGCTGGTCTTGTTGCACCTGGTGTGCCTGATATCGGCTGACAGCGGTCTTGTAGCTCCCTTGCCTCCCCTTTCCAGCTAGGACCTAGAGTAGGCCCTGATTCCTGTTTTTTGGGGTTCAGGTTCCCTTATAAGCCCCTTTAATGCAAAAAGGGCACCCTTTTTATTCCTAGGTTACTCTTGGATGTAGCCAGTCTCTCAAACAGCATTTCTTGCTCCCGGCATCCTGCAACCATACTTGGAGGTTCATGGGTAGTTATAAGTAGGGTTTTAAGTAGGATAACTATACTTCTAACGCATATTAGGGGACTTTTGCCCTACTTATATCTACCTATAAACCTCCAAGTAGGCCCTACAACCCCGAACATGAAGTCCCGATGCCCCGGATCCCAACTCCTAAAATCCCAAGCCCCAGAAGGAAAAGGAACCCTAAACCCTAAGTCCTAAACCCTAAACCCTAAATTCTAAACCCTAAATCCTAAACCCTAACCTAAACCCCACCCCGAACAAAGCTATTCTTTTGACTTCGATCTCCCCAAGCCCCATTCTGGATGGCTGTGCAAATTAGGGTCTCTTTTAGGTTCCCGAATGATAACGGTATGGAGAATAGAATATCATGGTCCCTTTTGGGAAACCCATGTATTTCTATTCAATAGAACTATCTAGGGCTCCCAAAAAGGACCATGATTTTGATATTTAGTAGTCATCTGGAAGCGCAGCGCGCTGAATCGGATCAGTCGCCAGTCTGTCAGCAGCGAGCGGCGGCGGGGTGTGAGCCACAACGAGATGAGACTTTCGCCGGGGACCTAACATACGGTTGATGATATAAATCTTGCACTACCCATACTAAGGAGCATATCATAATTAGGGTCATTAAGGTAATGCAGGATTCATATCATCAGCCGTAGTACGCACTCTACTTCCCACATGGGAGTTTCAAACGCAAAAAAGCCTTGACGCGCCCTAAACCCTAAACCCTAGACCCAAATAAAGTACCCCTAATTGGATATATTGAGATATTGAGACTCTGAGTTTCGCAGACCTCTTGGGGCCGCTGCTTTCTGAAACTTTCATATACCTGAAAAACGACACCTGCGTCAACAAGTATAAGGCGAATGCCAGAAGATGCAGCGAGGACCCTGTTTCGCTTAGCCTCAATGGCAACTTTCTTTTAGCTTTCATGGTGTCCGCAGCAACGCTTCGTGTTGCATCGATTTGCGGGCTCGAGCCTCTCTTAGAACCTGCTCCATATCTCCCGATATCTTTCCGTTTAAAGATCTGTTTATGCAGTTATCTTCTGTTGATACTATTTGCTTATCTAGAATCTAGCATGGACATGTCTGTCGGTGGACACACACCTCGCGCCGCTGAGTCTGAGACCTCGAACAATCATATCAGGCCCGGATTCGTAAGGTTCCGATGCTCCAACCCAAAATGTCAGGTCTTTCGGCTCTAAAGATTGAATAATAACCCTTAAGCCCTAAACCCTACACCTTAAATCGCGATAAATAGCCATACCGAAGCTTGTCACAGGTGGAGCTACCGGCCCGCTGCAACAGGTAGAAGCGTCCGAAAATTTTGGGATGTAGTCCTCAGTGTTCATGGGGTCGTTTGGCATCCTTAAATGGCTTGAGCCCTACACCTGAAACCCTACACCCAACCCTGAAACCCTAAACCCGCAGGCCTGCAGGCTGCACCCTCGCCTCAGCAGAAAGGAGCGAGTTCTCCTTTTTCGGGCCCAGAGCGCGATATGCTTAAACCCCTCAAGCCATTTCTTTTGCTGGATCACCAATCTATTATTGGAAAAGAGGGAATTAGGCGAAGGGTATGGAACGACGGTGGAAGGGGAAATCCCGAGCCTTGACTGGAAAACCCTAAATCCTAAACATCCTGTGGATCACATGCAAGACCATCGAAAATCCCAGAGCTCGAAGGTAGGAGTCTTCAGCCCCGCGGATCAATGTCCCTTAAGGGTTTCGACCTGCCATAATCTAACGGCAGCTAGGTCTTGCAACCGTAAGGAGAATTGCAATCGCTAAAAGGCTAAAACACTGAGTCCCAAACGCTAAAGTCTAAATCCAGAGCCCCACACTCCTCAAGCCCTTATAGAACCTTCATGGAAGCTTCACGAAACCCTTAGAGCACCCCCACTTGTAGCATTGCTGTGCCCAGAAACGCCCCAACACAGCCTGCCACAACGCCACAGCCGCAAAATCCTTAGCATCCTGATTGCAAGGACCACGAAAGAGGGGACTCTCCAAACCCTAAGCCCTAGACCGAGGGACTCCTCCAAACAGACCCTAAGCAAGAAGCCTACCACGATTTGCTTTGAGCTTCCAAGGTCTGAAGTCTTGCAAAAAGCAGGACTCCACGCCGAAGCAAGGCCCGGAGATATGAAGTTTCCGAGAATTAGGGGATCCTTTAAAGGGATCCTTTGAAGGGATCCTTGAAAGTAAGGATTCTATAAAGTGTTTCGGGTTTAGGGTGTAGAGTTTCCGAAAATTAGGGGTACCTTATTTCGGGGTCCTTATAATAAGGATCCTACCATTAATGGTTCTATATCAGGGTCCCCTATTTTCGGAAACCCCCCATATCGGTTTAGGGTTTAGGATTTCGTATACCTTATTGTGCAAGGTTTTTGTTACTTCATACAGCCGATATGCTGTGACATCATGCTACACTTTGTTGATCTCTGCTCTAACACCATTGCCATACTGGTTCATTCTCTACTATAGCCCCCACTGATGCTCTACTTGGTTCTACTTGTATACTTTACCATGACCATAACCTAAACCCTAAACCCTAAACCCTAAACCCTAAACCCTATAACTCTACACGAATCTAGGCCAGACCAGACTGACTATGCTTTTGCAGGATATTGTGCCGTGCTTTGGTTTTACTAAAGTTTACTGTACTTCATTGTGTTGCATTATCATACAGTCTCTTTGGGCTCGGATTTTCGCTGGAAGCTGTTTAGTGTTTGGTTCAGAATTCGGGGGTTTTGGATTTGAGTCGAGGGGGACATATTTCCGAAGCGGCCACGTGCCAGATAGGTTTAGGGTTTACGATTTAGGGTTTTGCTTCCATCTTTAACATCCTTTGAACCCTCCGGGGACTTGCAAGCGCGGTGTTTTCAGGACCGTCTAATACCCCAAAGCCCTTGCACCATTGTTTCCTACACTCTAGTCCGTAAAGGCGTCCTAAACCTCAGCCCTGAAAAGTGAGGCCTCAATAAAGGGGTACCAGTAGCAGCGGACACGCGGTGATGGTCTAGGTTTTAGGGTCCTTGGGCTCTTAGAAATTTGGGGTTGGTTTTGGTTCTTTAGATTTCGAGATGTATAACTTCAGGCTTCCAATCTTGAGCATGTAGGAATGTAGGAGTTCGTTCTTAGGATTTAAAGACCTAGAGTTCACTCGATGGGGTTCCAGATGGTGGGTGTAGTTTGTTTCATGTCTCGGGAGGTAGGATTCAATTTTTCGATCGCGGGGTGTTATTGTTGAGTTTAGGTAGGGTGTAGACACTTGGGGGGATCTAGCTTGTGTAAGGGCTTCAGGGTTTGAGGATTGCAGGGTCTGGGGAGTTGGTGTTGTTGGGATGATGCAGCTCTTCTCGGGGCCCCGAGGGGGACGAGAATAACCTCGCCACTTTTGGCGAGGTGGCTGCATCCTGGGACTACCGTGCGGCTCGAACCGCTAGCTGCAGACTGGGCTCACGTTGCTTTGGGTTCGGCGTTGGATGTGCCCGTGTAAATTGCCGTGACGTGTTTTTGAGCAAAGCTGTCACGGCTCAATGTGATGTCGGGGCTGCGACTTTTCTGGGGAACCACTAGCCCCCATCCAACATGGTCAATGCGTATGTCCCGCCGGTTCTACAGAATGCCGCGCCGAGGGTCCCGAAAAGATCGACCCATTGGACGGGCGCGCGTACACCTGCTATGAGCTGCACAGTTTTTATTCAGGACACTACCTGGGTCTTGAGATCATGGAATACTGGCACCAGGTCTGTGTTACGCCGCAGCAGGAAGCAAAGTGCGAGGGTCTTAGCCCTTGATGGCGAGAGCTGCGCTGGTGTGTGATGTGAGTGTCTACCTAAAGTGCTGATCGAGATTTCGTTGTACCGTTTACCTAAGGTGCCGATAGAGGCTTCATTGTCCGCTTAATTCGGTGCATGTTTCAACTTCATCAGCAGCACCCCAACCCTAGACCTAAACCCTTCACGCCAAACCCAAACCAGAAAACTGCAGATAGGTAGACCCGGAGCCAGACCAGGCAATCGGAAACGTGCACACAAGAAGTCCTCAACTCCACACCCTAAGCCCCTAAGCCCTACGGTTTGTAGGGTTTTTGGGAAAACCTAAACCTCTAGGTCCTTCCATCACTCACCCAAACCCCAACCGAGACGACGCCCTAAGTTACCCTTTCTTCCCAGGGAGAGAGCCGGGAAGGAGGTGCTTGCAGCAAAGCGCGAGGCTTCCCTGGGTGCTACGGTTGATGATATAAATCCTATTAATGGCCCTAAGTTATGGGAATTACAGTATATTCCTTGTTATGGGTAATGCAGGATTTATATCATCAACCGTACAGGTTTGTCATTCTGTAGAAAATCCGGCATAACGGATTTAGGGTTTAGTTCGGTTTAGGGTTTGGGTGCTAGAGTTATATGCTATATTGTAGCGCAAACCCTGTGCTACTTACTCACCGAGCCGATCTTCTAGGTATGAAGGCGCCTTTTTGAGGGGCTTGGGAGGAGCTTCGTGCTTTTGACCCGATGATAGTCTTTTTGAGCTATTGAGATACGTGAGGTATGCATATACCAGTAGACAGAAGAGTAGCTACATCTAGCAGAAAAGAGAAATAGCAAGCTAGCTAGCTGATTCACTAGCCAAAGAATAAATTAACAGATAAACGAGCGAATAAGCAGATAAATGGATCATTGGATAGATTGATGTTCACATACCTGCATGCATACATGAATACATACATACATACGTACGTACGTACATACATACATACATACATACAAACATGAAGCATACAAAGCCAGGAACCCGAATCCAATTATTCAGGTGCTTAGTCACCAGAGCCTTCCACAGCAAATCTCTAAATCCGGATCGCTATCCGACGCCCCCCCCCCCCCCGCTTGGAGATTCATGGGTAGGTACAAGTAGGGTTATAAGTAGGATAACTATAGTTATAACTCATATTAGGGAACGTATAACTCCACTGGTAACTACCCCTGAACCTCCAAGCACCCCCCTTCCACAACACACTCCACTCGGCCCACCCTCGCCCTGTCCCCCACTCCTCCCCACCAATACCAAAAAAAACAAAGGCCAGAGCCCCGGCGCAGAACGGCTTTAAGCTTATGAAGCTCAGAGCCTTGAAATCCTAAACCTCAAACCCCCAGCCCCAAAACCAAAAACTTAAACTCTGAACCTGTATGAAAACTGGACTTCACCGTCGGCGCCTGAACCCGAACCCGAGTCTCGGCAAGGTGATGGCGAAAGCAACCGCCGCGGCGCGCGCGGCGCAGAGCCACCCGACAGGGCATTGTGGCTAAGGGTTTAGGGCTTAGGGTTGAGGGTTTAGGGGAAGTCAGAAAGCGGGGGCTTGTTTCGAACGGCTGCCATAGGGTTGCGGGGTGGAGTCTAGCAGAGTCTTAAAGTTTATGGTATGCTACAAGGTGAGTTCAGAGCTTTGGAGGGATTGTAAGTGTTAATTAAAAACCTTGGAGGGAGTGTAAAGTAAAGGCTTTGGGAGTTCGGGGGTTCGATTCTCCTTCTTATTCGACCTGCTGGTCCATTCACTACTCTGATCGCGGCTTCGACTGCGAACTATACCAATGTTACGTAGGGGGTTTAGGAGTTTAGGGGTTGAGGGTTTGGGGTTGCTAAGCACAAACGACGCTGGGACGAATTTCACTCCGCATGGCGAAGCCGCCGAGACGCAAGCGGACTGCTGCTGGTGCTGCTCATGCAGTCTTACTGCCTGGGAGCTGGTTTAGGGGTTTAGGGGTTTAGGTTTTAGGGGTTAGGGGTTTAGGGTTTAGGGTTGGTAAGCTTCAGCACAAAATCTGGACTTACCATCAGAATCGCTCCAGGGTCCGCCGCCTCTACAACGGCCAGGGAAAAGGAAGGCTCCAAGACCATGGAAGAAGCCAAGGCCGCCATCAAGCTCGGGAGCACCGATTTTTTTTGAATTCTGCTCGGAGGGTGGTGATACCAGGAAGTGTGGCAGCAGACGATCGTGGAAGTGTGTTTGAGGAACAAACCCTTCTTGTGTGCACGGGTGTCTGAATTATGCTCCCAAACCCTAAACCCTTGTAGTGTAGTTTTCCGAGATCTCCCCCAAACCAGTTGAGCCCTAACCCCATTACAAAACCTTACGCCTTAAAGCAGTCTAGGTCCTAAACCCTGGCCGTAAACCCTCAACCCCTAAACCCGAAGCCCTGAACCCAAAAGGCGGACAAAGGTCCAAAGCCCCCAATACAGGGGCCTAAATCATTACCTATACTATTTTAAGGGCTCCTCACTATAAGTATAATGGTAGAATGGGCCCCAAAAACCCTATTCAAATTATTAAGGCCCCCAAACCCTAAACCCTAAACCCAAACCCCAAAGCCCTCGGATCGTGATCAGACTTTCGTCGAATGCCTGTAAGCCCAGGAGACAGCACCACACGAACAAGGGAGAGGCAGTCGCCACCAAAGCGTGTCGGTAGCATGTAACGTTAGTCGGTAGTCGGGGTTTCTAGCAGTGGGATCTGGGATTTAGGGTTGAGGGCTCAAACTTGTGGAGTCTGTAGGGTCGGGGTTTTGTGACAGTAGGTTTAGGATGCAGGGTATTGGGTTTAGGGTTTCGGGGTTTAGGGGTTTAGGGTGTAGGGTTTAGGGCATGTAACTTAAGAGTTTAATTCGGCGCATTTACACTGCTTCTCCAAGTGCCTTCTTCTCGACTCTGCTGCAACATGAATTTCGTGTTGGAAAGCTCTCGTCAGTCGTTTCGTTGGCAGTTGGAGAAGTCTGCGAAATTTGGGTTCTGATTGCCCACAAACGTTCTTGCCTCGGCAAGGTGTGGATAGCAAGAACAAGCTTCTGGAGCATAGCATGCAAGAGTGTTCGGATCCCGTGCCCCTGGTGTGCCAAAGCACAACGCTTCGTGGTAGTTTTGTGGAGCTGACACTGAAATTTACCTTAATCCCTAACCCTTAACCCAAATCCTAAACCTGAAACTGGCACCCTCAAAAGCCCAGAAAATGCTACACCCCAAACCCGAAGCCGAGCATTTCTGGTTTCGGCCTCGCAGCATTTGGGTATTCTCTTCACCTTTCTGCGATCCCACTTGCCGCAGGCGAATGATAATGTACCTCGTGGGGTGTCGAAGACATCTCCGCCACAGTGCTGCTACCAGCAGTGCAGCGATAGCTTCAAGATCGTTTGCAACATGCGCACAAAAAGGCAACTATGGTAGGTGATAGCAACCATCGTCGTCGTATGACAGCAGGCAGTATCATCAGACGAATGCATGAAAGCGTAACAATCGAAACTAATGCTGATAATCGGTTTAGAGTAGTTGGCGGCATGGTCTTCGTCGGCTGCTGTTGTCATTCATTCGTAGGATCCCAAGCCTGCAGCCTAAACCCGGAACTCTAAACCCTAAACCCTAACCCTAAACTCTAAACCCTCAAACCTATAAACCCCAAAAGCCCTGACGTAAAAACTACAACTCCCCACACCCTGGAGCCTACAGCCGCAAACTCGAACGCCCTGAGCTCTAGAGCCGCAGCGTCCGAAGCCCTTCACCCTAAACACCCGGCCCCAAACCCTAAACCCTTGAGTCCTTAAATGAGAGTTTCCGAAAACAGGGGACCCGAATATAGTACCCTAAATAGTAGGATCCTTATTATAAGGACCCCAAACTCCTAATTTTCGGAAACTCTACACCCTGAACGCTAAACCCATTCTAGAACCCTCATAGATCCGTTTCAAGGATCCCTTCAAAGGGTCCCTTTAAAGGATCCCTAAGGTACCCCTAATCCCCGGCTTTGCTTTGTGGTTGGTAGTCGGTGGCTTGTGGGGCCCGGCCGTAGACTCCCGGGTGTTCAGGTTTCAAGAGCTGCCGCACTTCTCTCATAGAACCCTTGATATAGGTGGTTGTCAAGATTAACTTATCTTTTTGGGTACCTTAGGTGCCGTATTATATCAACGACCCAAAAGAGGGACCATAATTTTGACAACCACCCATATAGGAACCTGAAATGATTACCTCTACAATTCGGGGGGGGGGGGGGTTCCTTAGTACGTTTCATAGTATGATGGCCCCCAAACCCTATTCTAATTATTAAGGCCCCTGTTTTAAGACCCTCTAAGGTTTCGAGCCGCCGACCAAAGGCTAAAACTCAAAGGCGAACTCCCCTCATACCCTAAACACGGTTCTTGTTAAGGAGTTTAGCTTAAGTTACCACAATAGGAAACTATATTATTTATATAGATCCCCATTCTGGTACCCTAAAGTCCTTAGCAAGAACTCAGTAAGCCCTCTAACCACTCCACCCTTTTTCCCGCAGCATTGAACTCTGGCAGCCAATGTAAACCCGAGCCCTACACCCTGAACCCTAAACCCTGAGCTCTAAACCCTAAACCCTAGACCACGCAAAACTTAAGGAAGCTTCAGCCCAGGCTCCCGACCGAAAGACACTGAACTCTGAGACGAGACGTTCTGACAGCAAGCCTACAAGTGGGGTTATAAGTCCCCTAATATGGGTTATGGCTATAGTTATCCTGCTTATAACCCTACTTATAACTAAACCCGCAAAAAACCGCAAAACCCTTCAGCTCCAAACCCTAACCCCCGACCCAATGCCCCAAACCCAAGCCTAGCCTCACCCCGGGACCCTAAACCCTAAACCCTTAAGCCTCAAACCCTAAACCCTCAAACCTCTAAACCCTAACCCCTAAACCGAAAGCCACTAAACCCTGAACCCCAACCCCAAACCCTAAACTCTAAACCCCAAAAACAAAAAAACCCGGACGTCCTTGCCGCCCGGCCCCCCCCCCCCCCCTCTCCGTCCTGCCATGGGCACCGAGCCGGAGGCTTCAGCCTTTCAGCTCGAGCCTCGGCTTGGGGTAGCAGGGGCCTGAAGAAGTGCATACACACACTCACATATATACATATATATATATATGTATGTATATATACATATATGTATGTAAGTAAGTATATATGTATCTATAGGTATATACACACAGAAAAATGAGTCAAATATTCATACACTGAGAAATTCATGCATACGTGCGCATACATGTCTACAAATAATGAATGTATATGTACATAGAAATATATACACATGTAAAAGGCATCTATCTGTCTGTCTCCCATCTATATATCATATGCTAGAATTCAGATGTCTTAAGGGTTGTTGATTGTGTCTGTCACTGTCAGGTTTCTGGGCTTCGGAGTGTGTTCAGGCCTTCAAGCTTGCCCGCCGTTGACTGATTTCAGCGTAGATGAGTTGTAGTGAATGGAGGAAGTTTGTGACAAGCAGCCATGTGCTTGGTGCAATGGAGTTGAACAGCTGGTCTCTGGCAGGAATAGTAGTCGTCGTAGCAGTAACAGTAGCAGTGGCAGTGGCATGGTTTCCAACCCCATGAACGACACCACAACTGGAGTTGCGCGCAACAAGGTGTCCGATGACATTGCAGAGTCCGGCCTCAGCCTTTGTGCGTCGCTATCCCAATGTCGCAGCCCGAAAGGCGATGTTGCTCTGGCTTCGCGAGAGGACAGCTCGAATCAAAGACCTGTCGAAGTTTGTGCAAGAGCGACCGGAAGACAATGCCACGCTTCTTCAGCTGTACCCGGCACTCAGCGACAAAGGCGGCCGCGTCTTCTGACGCCCTCTCGTCAGGTGACAATGAGGCCAGCACTCCGTCGGCACGGTTGGACGGATGTGCATGCAGCCAGCGATTTCAATATAGGAGTTCAGGGGCTAGGGCTTTAGGGGTTTGGGGATTTAGGAGTTCGTGTTCAAGTCTTCGGGCTTTAGGGCCAAAGATGGGCTTAGTTAAGTAGGGCGCAAGGCTGCGGCTTAGGTTTTTGCTGGTCTTCACGACTCTTAGGGCTTTTGAGGGCTTTGTAGGGTTTCAGGCTTTTGGGGCTTTTAGGGTTTGAGGTCTTTGGGTTTGTTTGGGGGTTGTGGCTTAAGCGCTCTTCGCCGCTAAATTGCTGTCGCCGGTCGCTATAGAATTTGTACGGCGCCAAGACTGCAGTTTCAATAGTAGGAGTGGATAGGTCGCTGGCCACAAGAAAGCTCCATCCGCGCCCAAATGGGGGGGGTCTGGGGTTTCGGGTTTTGGGTTTAGGGTTTTTCCGGATCAGGGTGTAGGGTGTCGGGTTCGGGGACCTTGATCATTAGAATAGGGTTCCGTTAAAGGGGTCTAAAAGGGTTACTATAAGGGATCTATAAGGGTTCTTTGATGTACGGGCCTTAATAAGTAGAATAGGGTTTTGGGGCCCATTGTATTATAACTACAACAAGGAACTCCCCAAAATAGTATATATAGGTATTTATTACGGCCCAGATGGGTGGTTGTCAAAAATAGGGTCCTTTTTTGGGTCCCTATGATAATACGGCACCTATTATTTAGGGTACCCCAAAAAGGGACCCTAATTTTGACAACCACCCATACAGTAGGCCCACGCCTGAGGTGGCATTCTTTCGGCCGCTGTCAGCATGGGGAGCTGGGTCGCCGGGTGGTCACGGAAGGAGTGGAGGCCTTCTGTCAATGCCACTGCCATACATATATATATATACACATATACACGTATTTATACACATATGTATGTATGTATGTATGTATGTATGTATGTATGTATGTATGTATGTATGTGTGTATATATATATTTATTTATTTGTATATTGTGTATATATATATACACATACATTATATGTACCGAACGAAAACCCTGAACCCTGTATGTATGTATCCATGTGTATATTTATTTATATATATATATACACACACACACACATATATATATATATATATATACACACACACACATAAACTGAGGGTTTGTTTGAGCAGCTTCAGGCGGCGGACTCTTGACTTTCAAGTAGAAGGGTTGTAATTGTAGACAAAAAGGGATCGTCCACGGAGTCCAGGGATCTCTTCGGAGGGATCTATCGGGGATCCACAATTTGGGGTCCATCAGGAGTCCCATTATAAGGATTCTGAATTCTATAGTGGTTCAGGGTTGACTTTGGAAACTTTTCGCTCTAAACCCCAAAGCCTGCAGCTTTCGGGGCCGTGGGGCTCGGGCCGGGATGCACGGAGCTTCCAGGTTTGGGCCTTCGGGGTCCAGGCGACAAATCCCGTCGTGAGATCGATGTGTGCCGTCACGGTTGCCTGAGGCTTCTTTTTTTTTTGTGTGTGTCTGTGTGTGTCTGTGTGTGTGCAAAGGCTCCGAGATCAAGCCTTAAGCTTTCAGTAATAGAGCCCGGCTACAACGCAACTGAAGCCAGCCGCACGTAACACGTAACTATGAAGGACTGAAACCTTAAGAGCTACACCGTACTGGCAACATCTTGGGAGTGGTTTTGGGTCTTTAGGGCGAGTGTGGCCTGAACTAACCCCCATGTCCTAAAGCCTCGAAAAGAAGCACAAAGCTACTATAGTCTCCTTAGGAAGTCTTTTTTATTGTTGTTCATATAAAACCCAAGAGAATATTA